TCATGAGAATAAGGAATCAACTCTGAGGTCAGTGGTGTTACTTTTATCATGAAGCTATCGAGATGGGAGAATTGGGTCCATAATTGTCATGATCCTTCACACCAATGCTTACATCTATTTTACACTAATTAACTTCAAATGTAGGCTTTAATACCCCACTTCTCTCACATAGCCATGTGCGACATCCTCCTTGACACAACTGCTTGCAAATGACTATTTTATGACACAATAATTAACTTCTTCTGTAAGCTTCAATATGAAAAACTAACTCCTCTTCACCAGCAGACCCAGACACTTAAAAAATAAAAGACACTTAAAAAATATACCCAGACACTTAAAAAATAAAAGAAATTATGTATTTATCACAGTCAATAAGTGCTGTCTAAAAAGAATGAGTTGGCACCCTGAGTTTTTATGTATGTGTAAAAATTAAATGAACTATAAAGTATATTTATACAACTGAAGGGAAATATAGGTTTAGTTTATAAAACCCCACCACTTTTATTACTTTCTGGTGCAAATTAAAATGACACAATTTGTTTTGGTCTAGTGCCTCGAGATATCTGAACACCTCTTGCCCTTAAAGTAGCATGCGAATCAAGAGCACAAAGTATATAATGAGATGACATGAAACTTTTCTATTGCTTAACATCTGATAAATATATAGGAAAGATATTCAAAAGCACTTGTTGGCCTAGCTCTGCTCCCTATTCACACACAATTTTTCACACATACTTTGCTGCCAATATAATAGTTCCTCCATCTTTTTCTACCCCAATTTCTATTGGAGATAAATAGCTGCAGAATAGAGGTCTGCAACTGACATAGGTACCAACTAGGGCTATGCGAAGCTTCGGTCGCTGATTCGATTTGGCAGAGATTCAGCCCGATTCGGTAGTCGAATCTCCGAATTCAAATCAAATTGAATCAGGAGTCCCTTTAATCTCTCTGAATTGAATTGGAACCCTCCAAATCGATTCGGAGAGATTCGATGATTCGGACATAGACACAGCTTTAAATGTTTTTTCTACATACATCAAGGTACCAGGCAGCTTGTGAACGTTGAGATAGTGGGGTGGATGCTGCGCCCCACAGGAGCACGGGGAGGTCCCCAGCGTGCTCAGTATTGGAACCAGAAATGGACCAGAAGCAGCTCTGGCCCATTTCTGGGTCTGCTGGGGAGAGCGCGGGGGGGAACCTTGTACCCCCCTGGCTTGGCAACTGGTGCCTCCTGGGTCTGGGGCCCCCTGCAGCTAATCGCCGAGCCAGGGCCCCTCCCTCCGCACTGCACGCTCCCTCGTCGACCCGGAAGTGGACCAGAAGTACTTCCAGTCCACTTCCAGGTTCGCTGCTGAGCATGCAAGGCCCCCCCTACACTCCTGTGGGACACTCCATCCACCCCACCATCGCAGTGTTCATGAGCTGCGCCTGGTACCTGGAGGTTTGTAGAAAAAAACATTTAAAGCTGTGTCTATGTCTGAATCGCTGATTCTCTGAATTAGTATCGAATCTTCAGATTCGGATTTGGCCCAATCGAATTGGGGACAGTGATCTGAATTAACAAATCAAATCACTGTCCCCAAATCAGGCCAGATTTGAATTGTATATGGCCCGTTTCACACACCCCTAGTACCAACTGTGAGAATATTGAGCTGTTCCAGATATGTTCTCCCTAAAACCTCACCTCTAACACTATGTACTTCCAGGCAGTACATTACATTAGAATTAATTTTTTTTAAAAAACCCCATTCACTGACAAACAAAATCAGGAGGAGACTGTAAAAAGAAAATCTACTAGTTCATATAAAATGCCATGTTCATAAAGCCTAAACTGTAGAAAGACATCTGCTCTTGTGGACTTTACAGACAGTGAACCATAAACAGACTAATATGCTGGTAGGTGTATGCATGTGGTTAGCTGCAATACAAAAAGGGGCAGCAAAAGCAGATAGGAAAGCCTGATGGCCTACTAATGAAAAAGATGGATGGAAAAGCTGGTCTGCCAATCAAGTAGAAATGGATACATTTGAAATGCTAAATATATTCTAATCTTTGGAGATGTGCATAACTCCCCTTAGGTCCCTAAGATTTGCATGTGCACTTCAAAGAGAGAACATACACCCCGCCTTCGATACTATGAGAAGAGACTCCAATTTAAAATGTTCTGGCTTCCTATTGAGACCAGGGATACAGCCTGTACAAATTAAATCAGAGCAATATTGTATGCATGGGTGGATCTAGGATTTCGAAAACGGGGGTGTGGATGGTGTGGCACATGGTCACATATAGCATAACACACAATTTTCTCCCATTAGAATCATAGGGCTGATATAGTGGTAAGCCACAATCAGGTCCTCGCTCAGCCTTCTTTTCTTTAGGCTGAAGAGTCCAAGATCCCTGAGCCTCTCCTCATATGGCTTGCCATACAAATCCCTGATCATATGGGTCGCCCTTCTCTGGACCCTCTTGAGTTTTAGCACATCCTTGTTGAAGTGCGGCACCCAGAACTGGATGCAATACTCCAGCTGTGGCCGCACCAATGTTGAGTGAAGTGGGAGAATCACTTCTTTGGATTTACTGGAGATGCATCAATTGAGGCATGCCAGAGTTTTATTGGTCCTAGCGGCTGCTGCGTCGCATTGATGGCTCATATTCATGCTGGGGTGTATTGTTACCCTCAGATCCCTTTCATTTATAGCACTGGTCAGGTTAGCGATGCCCAGCCTGTAGGTGTGCTGGGGGTTCTTCCTTCCCAGATGCAGCACTTTGAATTTCTCTATGTTGAACCTCATCTGGTTTCGTTTTGCACAACATGCCAGTCTGTCTAAGTCTGCCTGTATCTGCAGCCTATCTGCGGGTGTGTTCACACAACCCCATATCTTGGTGTCATCCGTGAGCTTGGACAATGGGCTTTTCACTCCCCTCAACCAGGTCATTGATGAAGATATTGAACAGCACTGGGCCAAGTACCAATCTCTGGGGTATGCCGCTGCCCATATCTTGCCAGGACGACGCTGATCCATTCATCTGGACTCTCTGTGGCCTACCCCGCAACCAGTTTCGCACCCACTTGACGGTCCCACAGTTGAGCCCAATATCTTCCAGTTTTCTGATCAGTACCTCATGGGATACCAGGTCAAAGGCTTTCTGGAAGTTGAGGTATATGATCTCAACTGCTTTTCTATCGTCCAGGTGATGAGTCACCTGATCACAGAAAGAAATGAGGTTGGCTAGACAAGACCTGCCTGCGACGAAGCCATGCTGGCTGTCATTCTGTATCATGCCTTCTGCAAGTTTGTCACATATAACCTCTTTGATGAATGTTTCTAGGATTTTCCCTGGAATAGAAGTTAACCTAATTGGCCTGTAGTTAAAGAGAAACTAAATGCTTTACTGATAGCTAGGGAGCTAGTACTATATTATTCAGTTTAAAATCAGGGCAAAAATAAATATAACTATTAGAATGTGCACTAATTTGCTAGATTTATATATAAAGTATAACCCCCGCAACAAACTAAGCAAAAAAATAGTCAAAATAGTCAAAAGATATTGCATCATTAATTCTGTAGTCATTATAGTTAAACGTTTCCTTCAGATTCATAAAACAAAATCTAGCTTTCTTGAGTGTCTTGACAATGCCTCCAATACTTCAATGTCAGTCATTTCTACACCAGAGATAATGTTACTACACCAGATTTAAGGTTTTAGACAGAGCTAAAAACAGTCTGCATGGCTGTGAAATAGAAGAGAGACATTACTAGGAATGGGTAACAGCAAAACTGCAGAATGAAAGTCTGAATAGTGGAACATCAACACTATTAAAGATGATTAGTGTGTCACTAACACCTATGGAGTGGAGAGAGAGAGATTAGCAGAAATGGAGGAGATGACAATGAGCCATGAAGTCAATTGACTCTCTCAGCACTTCATGAATAGAAAAGCCACTGCCTCTCCCAGTTGGTTTTACAATTTGGGTGAAGCAGGAATCAAAAGTGGGGGGAGGTAGAGGGAGTGACTGCAACTGCACCTCTCCTGGATCTACCTCTTTCCAATACACAACAGCAGGTTAAATACCTGATGTGCAAGTCTGAGACCAAGTCAGCCCCCCAGATAAGGAGGACAACTCATCACTTATCTTGTGTTTAACTATTGCCTCTTGTACATATAAGCAGACTTCTTCAAGATCAGGTCACTGCAATATGCCAGCTTTCTTGGAACCGAGGGTAAGACTCAGGGCCAGATGTTCTATACAAGTGGATTACTGAAGTGTCATTACATTACAGTATGTTAAAGAAGTCATTTCAAATGCGCTGTGGAGTTTAACCAATACCCAAGAACAGGATCTACGAAATGGGCAAATGTTAAAATTAACTGTGTTCATGGAAAACATACTGGCTGCGTTAAGCACAAATTAATGTATGCAGGGATCTGTCCAAAAATCCATTAAAGATGGCACTCCATTAGTCAAGCAGTGAGGTAGACTGAGAATGATTCACTGCTTTGATGTGTGATCAAGGAAGTCACAGAAAAAGACTATATACAGGTTGCTGCTTAAATGATAAAATCAAAGCATAGCAATCTCATTTCCGACAATAGCTGTAGTGCTTAAATAGTTGCCATCCACAAGAGATTAATTTTACAACCTGATACCTCTGTTCATGAAAACATTCTTTCAAACACATTTTCAAAAACTTTAGAGTAGTTTCTAGCTGGGAAAATCTCCACAAATACACATCCTGTTGCTTGAGGTTGTGCTGGAGACTAAATTCTAAACTTCAATCCAACCATATAAAAATTGATTTGCTTATTTCAAACACTGCTATTTATTGATTAGAATAGTACCACCCACACATGGCACAAAAGCCTGATCCAGTTTTTAGCACCCTGAAGTCCCCCCACTGGAAGTCAATGTGAACTGAGGATCCTCACTGTGGAGATACTAGTGAATCTGGTCTCACAGTGGTTTAATGTAACAAGTATGTTAGAGAGATTAAATTTACCTTGCCCTTGTAGTATTCCTTGACTTCAGGCCTAATGGAATCAAAGTCACCGCTGATATAATCAGGTAAGAAGCTGAAAGGGAAAACAATGAGCAGTGAAATGAAAAATGTAGGCATCTTATTTTCTTAAATTAAAAAAAAAAAGTTCCCAAGGCAAGAAAATTCTTCTCTCTAGGGGGAAAAAATGTTATTATGAAAGGTCTAGACCTAAACAACGTTAATTCTAAGGAAGCTAAGCCCCTCATTTAACCTGTGTGCTTGTTGTAATCAGAGGTCCACCATGTCTTAAGGGACAAGTTCTACATCTTTACTCATGCTCACATCCTGAACTGAGTTTAGTAGGAGTTCTACACACATGTTGGAAGGAGAAGCAAGTGCACTAATCAGCACCCTCTCCATTTACAGCGCACATGTACATTTTCCATACCCTCTACATTGATGGAATGTTGTTGCTTAGTTAACGGGAGTTTTAGAATTTACTGCATCCCATAATGCTAGTTCTTTTATCAGTAAATAAATGTGATCTAACAGAACGCCTCAGTCCACAGAGTGATTCCGGATATTAACTCTGATATCGTTGGCAAAAAAAAAAAAAAAAAAAATTACACAATGAAGAGATGTAAGGCTGGGTTTCTCAACAAGCATCAAGTGAGGAGGAAGCTCTCTATTTCTGGATGATTGGATTAGCACCATCTACACATGCACCTGTATTAGGGCACAGTAAATTAATACATTAATTAAGTCCACCGTAGGACTACTATCTTACAGCAGAGTACTTAACTCCACTGAAATGCATGCATAGATGGTGACAGGGGCTGACTGGGGCACGAGGGTGCTAAAGTGCAGGGGCTGCCAGGCAGCTAGCCCTGCACTTTAGCACGCTCATGTACCAGCCAGCTCTTCTGCCTCCTGACACTGCCACCCAGAGCTGACCCCCCCGGGTCCCCTACCAGCCTGGGGCTGCTCTGCCCAGCTCAAACTGCTGCAGTACCAGGTGCATATGTAAATGCTGTGCCTGGGAGCAGCTGACTCCAGCGCAAAGTGCGCCAAGTTTATCATGTTGCTTTAATGGCACATGCAGATGCACCCAGGAATCTCTTGCATATATTCTAGCCCCAGAAATTTTTTTAAGCTAGCTAAGCAAATAATAAACCTGCATAAAGATCTATTTAATTTTGGTTTTCATTCTCCTAATGATTTAGTACACTAGAAATATGATGAATAAGTAAAGTTTGGTTAATTTCTAACCTACTATGTTGTGCTCAAATCTACTGCATGAGATGCAGGATTTATTTTTTTCTTTATCTGCAGAGTGCTATATTATGCACTACATTAATATTGTACCACTGTTCTAATGAGATGTCAACATTGGTTTTTGAGAGGGTTTGTTTTTCAAGCTCTTATTGATGTTCTCTGGTTCTGTTTTTTCTTGTTTTTACTCGCCACTGATAAGTACTCCTAAAAATTAATGAGGCTTAATGTTTTGGAAACATAATCACATTAAATGAAGGATACACCTTGAATGTTTAAGACCTGTAAGAATATCACTTAAAGCACTAACAATATCTTTCCAAATGTCATACTGTTTTTGCTTTAAACAGCACAGCAACTAAAATTTGAGGGTATTAATTAGTTTACCTTCATCACTCTGCCTGTCTTTTTTTTCTTTTTATTTGTAGGTTTCAAAGTACAAGAAACAAACAGTTTTTATACCTCATTATCATTTATCAATATATAAAGAAACCTTAACTATGCCATTTAAAGTAGCATTAAAACATTTTTGGAAAAAAACCCAGCTTGCTAGAATCCTGTAATTTTAAGAAGTTTAGATAAGAAAGAGAGAAATGAAAAAACCCCAAGACTGAATTATGGAAGTGGTGGTCACTTCTCTAGATAAGACTGAATCAAATTTTGAAATTAAAATAGAGATTTGACCATTTCCTAACAAATGAAGCATGCAACATCTTTCCCAAACATTACTGAACCTACTGCATAATAAGCAAGAGTGTATCCAAGTAAGCTGATTTAAAATAATTTAAACTCATAAATCATTAGAGCAAACCCTTAAAGTAACATGGCACCATGTGCCAGGACAAATTTTCTCCCAATTGATCTACATAGAGTATCAGAGACCTTCATACTTCCCATATGATTAGCACTCAGTGAAATCTTCTGCCCTGAATGTTTTTTTTTAAAAGGAGTAATGATCATTTGCTGTAATTATTCTTTATGACTGAAAGTTTCTTCATCATAAATAGCTGACAAGTCATGCCAAATTATCCCATCTAGAACCACCTTATTTCAAAATGACTCGTATCTGTTATTATTCTTGATAAATATCATGCCAAAGGGTGTGCCTTTCTAATGACTACAATTTCCAATTATTCCTAATGGAAGCAAAGCCATGTTATTCTCAGGAAAAAAAGACAGGTAGGTGTCTGATCTGTCCAGGTTTTTCCAAAGACAAAGTGTATATTTAAAAGAACATTCAACACTTTAGGAACCATTTTTTGCTTCCAATGACAAAAACAATTGCACCTGATTTGCAACTGAGAATTAGGTTCCCACACTTCTGGACAAGTAGGACTAGACCTAGTTAGCTTTATGAGTGTATGTTAGTCCTTGGCAACTAGGTTGCTGCCTGTTACCGTATTTGTTTGAATATAAGATGACCCTGAAAATATGTGACCCCCCCAATAATTAGATTCTATATATGGAAAATGTGTAAATCTGTTATAATTTTCCAGGTATAGAATTCAATTATTGGAGGTATGCCTTGAATTTGTCCCTCCCCCGCTGCTACCTGGGGAGTAAGGTAGCCCCTTGCCCACCACCCCTGCAACCTCTTCCCCCTGCAGCCCCTTCCCCTCTTCTGTCAGACCCTGCTCTCCCTGAGCACATGGAAGTGAGGGACAAATTTAAAAACACTGACTTTGAATGAAACATGTCTACAGTAATTTAGGAAATCCAGAATTAATGCATTTTACCTTCTTTGAAATTGCTACAAATTTTAGCACAGGAACTCCATAAACACTTTTAAGCAGCACTTTTGTACCTACTTACATATAGTACAAACTATGCATAAAATTAATGCAAAGCCAAAAGTTTCATACAGTTCATTGGGCTGAGCCCAAGCAGACTCAACAGCATTTCAAGGAATCATGACCCCAGAATTCAGCACTGCTCAGTATGTGTGTGTACTCTGGATACCCGCATAAAGGATCCAGGTGCTAATTAGACCTCTTCACCCATGACTGAAACCATGTGTTCTTGTTACAAGTCTTGGGATCCTCCAAAAATGTATATGCAGGTGAGGTGAAGGGCAACCTTGTCTGGCTTCATCTCATGGAGAGCAGGGCCACACTAATCATATATAACAGGCTAAGAAGGGGATGACACAAGGATTCAGGGTGAATTGTTTGGGGCCCTGTTTGGTGATGTTTGCCAGACATTTAAGGCTGGTGAAGAAACAGGAATCATTGGAAATGGGAAAGAATGGCACAAGTCAGCTACGGGAGTGAAGAGAAAGTTGAAATGTATTCAATGTAGTGTTAACCATGACTCAAAAAAGAGTTGGCGCTGAGGGGGACTGAACATACTGGACACTAGCATATATTTGATTCAGATGGGCTGTACTAACCTATCTTTGTAGTAGGTTTCCATCAGTATGGGCCCAAAATGGGCCATGTGTTTTACAGTCATGCTTAGTGTTGGCTGCATTTAACCCATTTCATAGTTGGTTTCCATTACTGAGCACCTGCTGCTTGCTTTTGCAGCAGTGTAATAATAGACAATGTATTTAATGAGGGTTTCTTGTATGCAAATGTAAGACAAGGAGCTTTTCCCCCAGTGCTGACTAGGGAAAAAATCTCGTCCTTTATTTGAGTAAATATGGTACTTGAGTCTTGGTGAACTAAAAAAAAAAAAAATCTCTCAAATGCCTTAGAAGTTAAAAGTGAACTCCTGTCCTTTGCTCTTTTCTTTCCTACTGATATATGAGAAGCCAGTCAGACAACATTCACTTCAGACAGTACAATGGTGCCACTGTACTTTGGCAATGGTGCCAAAGTAAACCCTTACCCTTCCCTTCTGTTGTGGCCCCTCTACCCTTCTAAGAAGAATAAAACAATTTTATGGGAAGCAACTGATGCCACACTAATGTTTATGATTTCCCAAATTTCATTAGCTTTTTCAAAATGTACCTTGCTCAAATACTGCATATATAGACATCTTAAATTATCAGAAAGGTCAGCCTTGTACTCATCATTTTATTGTGCTTTGTTCACCTACCATAATTGCAGTGTTTTTTTCTAATAATTAAACTTTGTTTCCCCTAAATGGATGTTTCAAGAGACATATTAATGGTATAGCGGAGAATTAGAAAAGTGCACTTTAAACAAAATGCATCCCCTCTAAGTGGAATTTTGCTGCAGAGGTTTTAATTTCATTTAAATTGAAAACAACTTAGAAACATCTGTCAGCTCCATTTCTATCCATGAAGCAGTAAACTTAAGAAACAAGTACAAGTATGAAACAGAGAACAGCTCTGCTGTATCTGTAGAGCACCCTGCTATAGCTTCTGATAAAAAATACCTAAGGTAGTCTCCCCATCTTAAAAATGCCACTGCTAACTAAGCTCAGCTGCATCTAAGGGTATGTCTATTTAAACCTCCATTGCATAGACAAAATCACATAGACAAAAACAACAATCACACAGACAAAAACAAACCCTACCCATGTCATGCACTGAAAAAAATGTTGCATTGCACTTGAAAGCATGTCCCAAACTGATATCCTGAGAACAGCCTTCGCCAGATGTGCTGAAATGCAACTATGCAACAATATTTAACTATGCAGTGCACATAAAGATCTTGGAAAGCAAATCATATGAGGAGAGGCAGAAGGAAATAGGCATGTTCAGCTGTGGAAAAGGCACTTAAGAGGCAATATGATAGCAGACTTCAAATACTCAAAGGACTGCCATAAAAAGAGGGAAATCACCTTTTCTCTCTTGATACAAAGAGCAGAATGCAGACCAATAGCTTGAAGTTGCAAAATAGGAGTTCAGGAAAA